CGTATTCGCCGCAAACATCGTCATCGCGTTCCTCCCTCTGATCCGTCGCTACTACCCCGACGAGATCGCCGACATACCTCTCACCCCTTCCCAGCGCGCCTCCATGGGCTTGAAGGCTGGCGTCCAGGCGCCCCAATCGCCAGGCTCTGCATTTGCATCGCCCAACTATGTCACGCCTCCCCGATACCAGCGATCAACACCGCGCAGCAACAGCTTCAGCAATCAAGAATACGGCTCCGGGTCGCCGAACTTCGGAAGGTCTGGCTCGGGCTCACCTTTCTCACCAAACAATGGAGGAAACTTCCAGAGATCAATGAGCGGGTCTTCTGCGACGAAGCGGTTGAGCTATGGTGGCAGTTCGATGAGCAGTAGCTTGTTCGGTGACAGCTCAAGCAGCATGACGGCACCGGGCACCCCTACGCCCTCTACTGGCAAAGCGAGTGTCGGACTGAACAGCAAATGGCTGTACGAGAAGCGGAGAGACAGCCGAAGCGGCATGTTTGCGCAGTAAATCCTCATGGCGTATGATGTACAGAGACGTGGGACGGCAACATATCGCTTTATACCCTGATATATCGCGTGGGCGTTTTGAATGATTTATTTAGTTTAGCATAGCTTGGAGCTGGGGCATTGGAGTCGCCAACCTGCTGGTGTACGATAATACAAAGAGTGGGATCTTCCGTGCCATAACGCCGTTGATGCCTCATTCATACGTGAACCCACTTCGATAGGTGCTTCGTCCTTCCGCTGTACCGTCAATGCTCACAACATGCTCTTCCGTCGTAACTCATGAGAAGCGATCCCCCTTCCGACTCCGATACACCTCAGGAGCCTCATACTTGCTCTTCTCGCCCACCCTCTGCCCCTCACTCTCAGGCGCATGTCTCGTCGGCGCCGGATCCTGACTAGCCTGCATACTCGGGTTGCCCTCACCTCCCATACTACCATTCCCTCCTCCCTCCGCTCGCAGTCTGCCCACTTCGCTCGTCACGCTCTGCGGCGCCGCCTGTGTGGATCCTGGTTTCGCGGTTGGGTTCAGCGGTGTGGTGGTAGGAGCGGAGTTTTGTAAGCCGTGCTCGAGTTCATAGAGGCGGATGCGTTTTTGGCGGTCGGCTTCGGCTTTTGCGGCGCGGTCTGCGTTTATGCTGCGTTTGGCGAAGAAGTAGGCGCCGCCGCCTGCTACTATTAGGGTCGCCCAGCCGTAGCTGTGAGAGGGGTTAGGGTGGATTCATTTGAGCTTTTGGTGGGATGGTGTTGGGGTTTGGCACGTATGGGGTGGGTGGACTTGTGGGTGTCTGCGAGAGGTGTGACGTACTATACTGATTTGACCTGTTCGACTGTTAGTGCTGATGACAGGGTGGGAAGTGTACGTGGAGCTTACTGTGTTCATGATGCGTTGTGTATTATCGGTCTGAGAAGGGAATTGGTGTGTGTGGAAGCTTGTGGCGGCTTTGCGACAGCTCGCAAGTTTTCTGAGCGATGGATGATGAAAGTGGTCTGATTGTTGTAAGGCTGCCGGTGATTGTTCGGCGACTAGACAAGGACTCGCCGCCGCGGGGGAGAATGATCGACTGCTACAAGCCGACCATGTCTATTACACGACCTTTTCACTACTTGCTGCGATGGAAGCAGGCTCCGCCCAGAATATCCTCAGGATACCACCGTGGTTTACGCTATCTTCAACCGGGACATGACGAGTCACGCGCCATTTGATTTCCACTGACAGCATGTCTCAATAATAGCATTACTGTTCATGATACTCAGAGCACCTTGTCATTTCAAGAAATACTGGGCAGGCCCGCAATTGAATCTGTCAATGATTGCTGCTATCGAATACGCAGGAACCTGTTATCCGCGGCGACAGGCTATGCCTTCTAGTCCTTCTCCATCGAGTCTGTCACTTGGTCAGACGAAAGGGCTTCCGAAGCCACAAGACTTGACACAAAGGATGCTCTCAGTCCAAAACTTATAACCTCAGTCAATGCGCTATCTCAAGACGGATAAGGATCACAGCAGTACCTTCAAGCCATCTCGGAAGAGTGGACTTGCTGCATGGTGAAAGTGTGAGCCCTGCAGGAGTGTCATCGCTGCAGCCAACCTGGCTTTGAAGAGAAGGTGCAACACTTCGGGCGGATGACAGCGATACCAACGAAGAAGAAGCAATGCTCACAACCATTGCCTCCACAACACGATCGCTTACTACACTGCTCGCTGCATCGTTGAGTCCGGAAGTCCGGCATGATGCGCGACAGGAATGCCTCAGGAGTGCGGAGATGACAGGTGCAATTCCTGCGCCTGCGCTATCGCGACATCGAGCCCCTTTGCTTAGGCATTGTCGACTGCGACCAACAGGCGACTCTACGCGAGAGACTGTGAGCCTATCTGCCGAAAGCGCGGCGTTCCTGCTCCAACGGGTGGCCCCACAGGCATGTAACGGGAAGGTCCACTTTAACGGGCGCCTGATCTCGAAACACCAACATCCCGAGGCTCTTCGCACTTCATGGGACCGCCACTCACCATCTGCTGTTCCTTCGCACGAGCATAGTTTCCGGAATTGAGCCGGACATACGGCATGGCACTGTGCCAAGCCGTCGTGTTTGCATGTGGCGTGCGACGTTCTGATTCGAAACTTGACTTTACGGTCGTCGAAACCTCCCACGCCTCATCGCTAGCGTACTACGGCAAAACGGAGGCTGAATTGCTGGTTCAATGAGCGCTAAGTGACGGAGGGCATGATCTGGTCCAGGTTCTCGAAGTTTTAAGCCTGTGGAGCAGCCTCACCACAACGCCTCTACGTCCATGACAGGCTAGGTGTTCCCGTCGAGGAGGTACCACAAGCTCCTGCGAAGTCTATCCAGGGTGCTTATTCCTCACTTGGCGGTATTCCGTACTCCACTCTTTCATTGCCAAGTCTCTACTCAGGCGCCTAGGCCAGCACGACCATACACCAAACCCTTGACCTATACCGAAGCACGTCTCATGCAAGTGGACACCACCATGGATGTCGAGTAAGGGATTTCACGATGTGGTGGTTCGACTGGTCATGGAGGATGGTATATAGATTACCATCCGTTCCACTGCTGGTAATCTATCTCCATCAACGGTCTTCACTTCTTCACAGCTCGACGCTAGTCCTTCTTTACTCCACATTCTATTCTATTCTCAGCGCTGAGCGCCAACTTTATTTTAACTCCAATCACTATGTACTTCGCTGCCTCTTCCGTTGCGCTTGCCGCTCTCTTCACCACCGTGCACTCGCACGCAGCTATCTTGGCCGCCGTTGGAGACTCTGGTGAGAGTCAAGGTTTCCTCGTTGACCCTGCTATTGCTCGCAACTGCACGACCATCTCTCCTTGCCAGCAGGATGCTACCATCATCCGCGACTCAGAGATCAAGCAGAACATCGTCAACGCCTGCGGAAGGACTGAGATCGCTGGTAACATCGACATCGGCGAGCAGACCGAGAACGAGCTTGCTGCTGGTCGTATGGCTCAGGTTTCTGGCGGCTCCATGCTGGCTGTCACCATCCACCAAGTCAACGCTGATGGTGCCGGCCCATTCGAGTGCGACATGGACGAGACTAGCAACGCCGTCACCACCTTCACCCCCCTGAAGGTGTCCAACAACATCCCTGGTTCTTTCGGTCTCTCCCAGGCCAAGGAGAAGGACTTTGTCATCAACGTCCAGATGCCTGACAACTTCAACTGCCTCGGTGCTTCCACTGGAAACATCTGCACCATCCGATGCCGCAACAACGCTATCGCCGGTCCCTTTGGTGGATGCTTCGCCGTCCAGCAAACCGACGGACAAGGTCGCACCGACGAGGCTGCTTCTGGTAAGTTCCACTTTTTCTTTTATCATTGCGAAGCGTCTGCCCTATCCTGTATCCATACTCACTGCCGCTAGCTGTCGACACTGCTCAGACACTTGAGGGTATCTCTGCACAGATTTTGCAAAACAAGAAGGATCTTCCTGCTGCTATCGCGGCGAACCAGGCTGCTGGTGCTGCGGGTGGCAACGAGGGTGCCAGTGCCATTTCCGGTGCGTTGCTTTCTCATCCGTCACGTCTCTACTTCCATGGAGTTCATGCTAACGTTTCTCTCAGCTCTTATTCCTGACGCTACTCAAGCTCCCAACGCTGGCAACGGTAACAACGGTGGCAACAACGGCGGTAACCAGAACAACGGCAACCAAGGCCAGGGCCAGCAGGGCCAGGGTCAAGGACAGAACCAGGGCCAGGGCCAGCAGAACCAAGGCCAAGGCCAAGGTCAGAACGGTCAGGGTCAAGGCCAAGGTCAAGGCAACGGACGCCAAAACCAAGGCCAGGGCCAGGGTCAGGGCGGCTTCGGCGGCCAAGGTAACCGTGGCGGCAACAGGTTCAGGCGCGCCCTCAAGTTCTTCAGCTAAGCGCCTCATCATGACGCAACACGAAGAACAACAAACACAACAGTGAACAGTACATAGCCGATTGAGGTTGGTTGCAAAAAGCGCGAGAATTATAAAGGCTGGTCCATTTTTTACATTACTTACCACACCAACAATGTATATACCCTTTTTTAGTTACATATGGAGATATAGTAAAGGAGGATGGAGAGTGAATAAAAGACTTCTTCACCAATACTTTGTCTTTGATGTGCCTTCTTCCGGTCGCGATTGAACTTACGGATAGGTACCTGCTAATCTGATGTGGTCAAATGCTCCAGACCCTTCGTAGATCAGTAGCCTTATCCTTCACCTATACTGGCCAAGCTTTCACCCTACGCATTCTCTTCCTGCCAAAACTCGACCTTTCCACCACCAACGACATTCGCTCACACTACAAACATCAGCATGTTCACTCTCTATGTCAAACTTTATGACAAGACACTTTCACCCAGGGCCCGCTGACTATATCATGTGCCTCCCGTCTCCTCCCAAACCCTCCTCATCCACGCACCCAACTCACAATCTCAACTCACAACCAACGACTACACCCCTACACTCCTACAACACTCAACAACATGAATCCCTTCGGCAACTCAGGAGGCGGCGACGATTTCTTCGGCGGCATGGGCGGCCCCTTCGGCGGCATGGGCGGCCCCTTCGGCGGTCCAATGGGCGGTATGGGAGGAATGATGGGAGGTGGCCCCCCTCCCATGATGGGTCGCGGCGGTGGTGGTCCTATGGGCGGCGGAAACCCGCGTCAAGGCGGCTACTCATTCTCCTCTACCTTCGACTCCTCGCGCCCTGAAGGCCAACAGTATCAAGAGCACCACGAGCCCTTCGGTGACTACGCTGGCAGCCGGGGTGGTGGTGGCGGCGGTCCTATGAGCGGCATGGGCGGCGGTGATCATGAATCAGCCCCGCGTGGTAGTAGTGGTCGCGGCCTCATGTTCTCCGGTCTCTCACGCGCAGACAACCCCTTCCGCCAGTCACGCACTCCTGGTGTGAGCCGCGCCCAAGAACAGCCTACCTACGGCCAACAGCGCTACATGGACGAGGATACCCGCGGCGGTCATGTAGATCCGCGGTATGGAGGCGGATACGAAGACCCGCGTGCTGGTGGACAGTATGGTCATGGTGGAGGTCCAGGCCGCATGTTTGACTATGGTGGTCGTCAACAACCTTCGGGTCGGCAGGGCTACTACGATGATGAGTCGGATTCAGAGGATGAAGGGTATAGGCCGCAGCAGCGGTATGCTCCTCAGCAGGGTTATGGTGGTGGTGGTGGTAGTTCGCGTCGTGCTGGCGGTGGAGGAGGAGGCGGTGGTGGTGGACGCCAGTTTTTCAACTTCGATCGTAATGGGAGGAGGAATAACTAGAGCCATGTTGTAGCTGAGGACGTATGAGCCCGCGCTATGGTCGCTTTTTCTTCTTCTTTTTTGTCGAGCCGGACGAGCTGAAGTAGCTTGAATGGCGATTAAGTTCAGATAGTTTTTCTCTGAACATAGCTTCCGAGAGCTTTTCTCGAAGACAATGCAAATTTGTAGTATGAAATTTAATATCATGGAAAAGATGAGGGTGATGGCTTGTATGAGACTGCAGCATACATCAGCTTACCATGATGATACCCAGAGACACTGCAATGATGACCACAGTCATCGATGCCGATATTCTCGTTGTCTACCTGGCGAAAGGGATTGGTAGTCGCCCAAAAGGACAAGGAGTTGCAGACGAAGTATTGAAGAAGCTGTGGAGGCGACCTATCCAGGCCGACCAGGGGAAGAGAACCGCGAGTGTGGCCAATTATCGCGACGTTGCGTAGTCACAGAAAGAGAAGTCGCGGCGAGGTTGCACATTCCCCTGCTGCACCCATCCACCAATCACCATCGGTCCGTTCCTGCTGACACCTCCAGCCACTCCTTGCTCCGCGAAAACCGCCGATTCGTGACTGCGAGCAAAGATGTCGTGACCAACGGCTCACCAATGTGCTGTTTGTTGCCAAGAAGGAATCTTTCTGCATCCCGGTAAAAGCCTCTACCGTGCAAAAGGCGGCGGCTCGCGCGTACTCGCGCGAGGGTGGTGTGACCCGGATCGGATCGCCCAGACCCTGAGGCATCCTCGCGAATGCACGCCTGAAGAAGTATCGCAGAAAGATGAATAGAGATTCTACGCAAACGCATTCAACGATCACTTCAGACTCGTCTTACCAATACTCTCAGTATGTATATTTCGCGCCTTTGTAAGCCAAACTCGCAGACCGCGCTTTCAAAGCAAGATATAAGCAACGGAAACGCTTCCTAGCGTCAAGGCAGCCCTAACCGCAGCCCACAAAAATGGTGACATTTGACTCCGCCTGCATACGTCGCTCATCTCCACGTGCAGGTCAGCCGCGGCCGTAGTGCGAGGGCCGTTCGTTCACCCCTTGCTCAAAGCCTCAGGGCAGACGTCCTAGGCAACCATCTTGAAGGGTATTAATAGCCCCCGACGCCCCCATGTTACTATTCTTTTACCTGTCTTGAAGAAAAAACATCAAGTCCAAACCACAGAGCACAGAATTACCGACACAACCAAGACCCCACACGCGCCGACACCACCGAACCTTCCTGGCCCCACATTCCGAGATCATTTTCCGTAGGGCTGGTCACACGCGAGCATCTATAATCACGACCGCAACAACGACGGTACAAAGGCACAACCATATATTCAGCTTGCAACTCCATATACCATCGTTCTCAACTCCATCCGTATACCGACACAAAAATGGCAATCTCAACACACGCCCTCTCCCACCTCCGCACATACTCCACCCGCCATCTCCCACGCGACCCACACTACCGCCTCAAAGCCACTTTAGCCACAAGCTATGTAGTCTCAGCTCTTGCACTACCTTTTGTGCCACCGCTTTTGGAAACAAGGAGGGCGAAGGCGGATGGGAGCTATTTGACGAGGTATGTTTGTTCGGTTCTTGGATTAGATTTGGGGGAGGAAGGCGGGATACCTACCGGATTAGGAAGGAATTGGATGAGGGGGATGAATGATGTAAGATGATAGAGGGATCAAGTGCTGACGCGTGAATAGGGAGAACGCGTACTGTTCGTCACAGACCCTTGGGTGTGCGCGGTGATGGGTTTGGTGGAGGTAAGTTGATGAGGGATGGGAAGTGCGAGATAATGGCTAACGTTCATCGCAGACTTCTTTTGCAGTGGTGTATTAGCTACTGATTTGGTGCCATACCTTTTCAAATACCCGGCGTTCGTTCATTCTTGAGAGAGGATCTATATAGAGACTGTGATCCGAAGCTGTATGTGTTGCACGAGCACATAGCGCTACTGTTGGTCATCAGCATAACACTTTTGATAATACATGCATCATTAAAACTATTCTCTAAAGCCAATAATACACAAGAATACACTATTGTGGCTGTACAGGTTACCGAAGTCGAACATAAACAGCTGTCACTCTCCCAAGACTGCTTAGTCAACGTCGTCGTTGGTGTTGGTGTTGGCGGGCTGTTGCTGGGTTTCCAACGCGTCGTGCATCTCGTCATCGTCATCATCCTCATCCGTGTCCTCATCCATATCGCTATCATACTCGTCCTCAGTAGCCACTTCCCACACGGTTGTGAAAAGCTCTCCGTCGTCCTCGAACACAGGGTTGCCGTCCTCGTCAAATACAGGATTGCCGTCTTCATCGATATACTGCTGAACGACATCATCGTCGAGCTCAAGATCGAGCGCCATATCGTCATCCTCGTCAAGATCATCGACCTCGAAATCCTCATCGCTGTCAGCTGATTCTTCGCTTCCGTCATCTGAGCCGAATATTTCCCTGAACGATGGGAGTCGGCCGCCGCGATTCACGAGGCTATGCTTCATGGAAAGCGTAAGACGTCGTGTCTTCGACTTTAAGAGGCTGATATCCACTTCGCTTAGTTGTTCCGTTTCAGCTTCTTCTCTCGCAAGCGATTCAACTGTCTCTTGGTACTCGTTGGTAACTTCTTTCCTGATGAAACTTCTGAATCCATCCATGCTCGCATCGTACAGGCATTCGATAATAGGAACGCGCTCTTTGTGCAGGTACGGTGGTATCAAACCTTCGCTTTTGTGTAGTTCCAACGACATCTTCAGGTTGATGCCAGCCTTGTGCAGCTTGAACGCCTTTGCGTGGCGATTGCGAAGACGTTCCTCATCGCAGATATACTCAGACTTTGCCGTGTCGAGCCTATGAGCCACACGGGGCATAGTCAGCGCATGATTTAAATAAAAACGCTTTCTTTGTTATCAGAACTTACCACATGTATGATGATTGCAATAATTCGAGGGTATCCAGAGATGGCAAAGCGGCGTAGTGATCAAAGTCAGGCGGCTGATCCCAGAAGTCGACCGGAACATCCCAATGCCGACGGATACGAAGTGTTTCCAGGCTAGGGGGCGCTAGATCACGGTTCATGATGATAGCCTGATGTAGGAACGAATTCGTGTCGCATTCAAGGTACTTCAGAAGGTGGAAATCGCGCATACCATCACCAGGTGGGCGTATGCTGCGGAGCACCTGCGGGCTTTTGTCAAGCCGCCAGCCAGGATTTAGATGTGTAAGGCTTTCCAGCGAGTGCGCGACTGCGGAGAGAGCCTCCAGTGATCCGCCCGCGTCTTTGTTCAATAACGGCTTAGCCCGCCTTGACCGGTTGATGTTGAAGACGTTCTCGCCCAGAGTCAACGACTTCAAACGCGCCGGAGTGCGAAGGATGCTGAGCAGACTTTTGGGCCGCAGTTCGCACTCGTCAAAAACAAGCGAGATCAGAGGAGTCTTCTTCGTATGTGCTGCGAGCTCTGGGATTCCAGAGTCTGGGAAGGCCACACAGGAGATGTGAAGGTGTTTGAGTGCGGGGTGTCGGAAGAGACAATGGAATCCCTCAAGGTTCCAGAAGTCGGTAGCAGTACCGTGCGAGTGGATGGTCACGTTCTCGAGAAGACCCAGCCCAACTGTCCGCTCGAGATTCTTTCCCAAGCGCCGCTCAGCCGCGATCTTGTCCGTCTCTATCGGGCCCTCCACGCAAGCTGTGTCGAGCGCACGGCGGAAGCGTTGCATATCGCCGTTGACCCAAGCCTGTCCACCATCGTTCTCCCAATGGAAGTTATCGTACGGGCTCTCAATATGCCATTCCCTCAGGTTGACCATACGAGCCACGCACTCGTTGAAAGTCGTCCTTATCTCGGCGCTGTCTTTTAAACTGTCGTCTTTGTATGAATACAAGATCTTGAGGGTTTGTACGGCGCGGACGCGTTCAGGACGCGATGTGAAGGCTTCGATGATAGCGTGGAGGTTCTTTACGGATAGAAGCTCGATTCGCTTGTAGAGTCGCTCTTCTGCGAGGTCTTGCATATCGCGACATGTCCGAGCGAGAGCACATAAGGCCTTGTTGTTGCCTTGGAGATGATCGATTACGACAAGAGCGAGTTCGTTGGGGAGCGCCGAGGTCGCCGAGGCCAGAAGATTGGATGTCATGATGCGCGTGGTACGCGATCGCGGAGGTTTTCGTATATCAGAAAGAGATGCGTTTATGGCAATGGTCGATGGTTGCACTACTCAAGCTGATTTAATGATCAGAATATTGATGCCTAAGTTGTCCTAGATATCTTAAGTCAATAATCGCGTGGCGAAAGGCGTTGATTTCGGACCGAGAGCAAACACGTACTGTAGGCGATGGAATGTAGCCGTGTTTAGCGACTGTGATACGAAGTCGTTGATCGGAGAATTTGTTGTGATGCGTGAGGAACGCGATTTTCCCACGGCGAACTAAATTATCAGATTATGCAGGGACGACGACGAGGGGCCGAGGCGGGGGTTACAGCGCACGGGCCAATGACGTTGACGCGTCGTCCACTCACCCATCCACGCCTTCACATACACCTTCGACACCTTCAGATGGCCATCACCGACCCTGTCGAAGCAAATTCGCGCGTTCAGTTGTGGGGCGACCTGTGGACACTCCGTAAGTTATGTGAGAAGCGCGTCTGAGAGGAAGAGCCTGGAGCATCGCGTGCCTACAGCAATGATGAGTGCATATGTCAGGTTTCACTGCCACGGTATAGTATGCAGCTCTGCTCCTTTCTATTTCGTATATTTCATGTTCCTTCAGTAGGGTTGAGATTCATGCGGATGCTGGAGCTGCCATCTCCGTTCACGCAAATCTTCTTTGATTCACGCGTCTGCAACGAGTATCGCATATTTTATTGTACAGTTTCCGGAAAACTCCGGGCAGCCGCCTAGTCCTACTCTCATCTCAGGTGCTCTGAATTTGCTGTGTAGTTGGCTGCCTGGGCGTCCCGCTGTTTTGTTGGCACGACGACCTGACAGCCTTATTGTTTGCCTCTCCACCGTCTTGACAGCAACTATTGTGCGCGAAAACCCTAAACTACGCACGCGGTCCCCCTGAACTGGATGAGAGTATATTTATTTGAGCGCACCTTGGCCTCATCTAGGTGATACTAGGTCACGAAGTCAAGCTTTACGATAATCATGGAGCCTCCACCAAGCCCGCTCTATCTCAACGCAAACGCGAAAGGGAAAAACAAACGAGCAGTCGAAGATGGTTCTCCAAAAACTGCCAAGCTTCAGGATTCCTCCACAACCGAGAGTAATGCGCCTACCGTCGTCCGCCGCCGTCAACACCGCCGTCACAATATTGCCGCTGAGATCTGGGGCCCAGACATACCCTCCAGGCCCATACCCCAAACTTCCACCGGTGGATCTGCCCCGAAGCAGCTTTTCAGTGTCTACAAGGCCATCATCCGACACCCGAACCTCTTCTTCCAGTTCGCGCTCCGCTTACCCTACCCCTCCATCGTCGACCTCTACGCCATCGACAAAGAGTTCCACTACCGCCTGAATCTATACAGCGTCTCCCTGATACACGACTACGCTCGCTACCATGCACCACTTGCCGGCCACATCTTCAGCTGGGTACTTTACCCCCGTACGTGCATCTCCGACCCCATGCTCCGACCCATGGACGGCCGCGAGTGGCTAGCGCGCGACGTACCAGGCTTTCGCTGGGTTGGCATGATAGTCTATCGCCAGAAGATCGTACGCAGCATTCTCACATACATGGCTCTGGAAGGCCATCGCGTACCAGAGGCCTGCGAGGGCGCGCTGATGAAGTATTGGTGCGTCATGGAGCTCAAGGAATCGAGAACGCGTCGCTCCTTCCTTGAGGATGCCGATATCTGGACCGACGCCGATCTCATCAACATCCAGCTCTTCTTCATGAAGCTCGACATGCGCTTCTCCGATCCCATACTGGGCAACGGCGTCTGTCAGCTAGGCCCCATGTTGCTCGCCCAGAAGAGCTTGACTCCGCTATGGGAGGCGCTCAGTGGCAAGATGAAGTTCAACTACGATACCACCAGTGCGATGGTCGTCGCTACATACCTCATGGACGATCTCGACTTCGAAGCGCATCCCTGGCTCGAAGACGTAGAAGACCATAGCGTACTGGAAGACCAGTGGGGTCTACTGAGTCTTGAGGGCTGGAACGAAGATGGCAAGAGGATGCCGCATGCTTTGGATCTCGTCATCGCCGAGAGCATTAGGAGGGGCCTGGATGTGCAGCAGTATTATCTGGACTTTGTCATGTACGGGTATGGGGATAGTAAAACTGGAGAGAATATCCCGGTGCCGGTGCAGTTAAGGGGCGATAAGAAGGTTAGGGTGCCGAATGAGGGGTGGCCTTCGAAGGAGATGAGGCAGAGCACAATCAGGAAGCTGGATGCGCGCTTTGGGTCTAGGAAGGCTGCTGCTGGGGATGCGATGGATTTGAGCGCTTGAAAGCTACAGGACACGTCGCGGTGATTTAGCCCATGAGCTAGGCACTCTCTAACTGGGGATTTGGGCGCATGAAAATGTCAAGTAAACACTGAAATCCGTTGAGTCTTTGTTTGTGCATGAGTAACTAAGTGCAAGGTCGTAAAATGACGGTTGTATTCGGTGATCTAACCTATTTGATTGACTACCTACTAACCTTGGAAGTTCAGAGTTCCACAGCCTTCGTGAAACTTAGTTCTCTGGTCCAAGCAAGCCCTTATTTGCTTCAATAATAACCAAATCCTCCGTAAACTTTCTTCTCCTGTATCGCCTGCTTTCCGCGCACTTCCTCCCACTTTGTAGCCATCTGTACAGTCAAGTCCATAACATCCTGTAGCTTCGTCTTGCCACCATAGCTCATCGAGACCATCTCATCACACATTTCCTTCGCGTTGACCAGAATCTTGTGCTGCTTTTCGTCCACTTTGTTGGTGTCTAGATTGAAAACAGCCTTGTCGTTGGCAGTCTCGATGACGGCAATGTATTTGAGGGTCGGCGGCTCGATGGGTTTGCTCTCGGTGGCGCGGTCAGCAGTGGGGTTATCCTGACGTTCGGTGAGGGCTGGTGAAGGAGCGCGAGTAGTTGAGGGTGTATCCATAGCGACAGTGGACGCGCCGTCTGAATGTTGTTAGCTTGAGACATAGCAGAAGAGATGATACACATACCAGCAACGCTCAGGCTCTCGAGCTGGTGCGACAGTTCCCCAATGTTGGTAACTTTCTGATGGTCTTGGAACTCACCCTTGAAGTCCGATTTGAACATTCGCGCAAGGGGGTCGTCCCGCGCCCACATCAACTGAGTTAAGAAGGCGCGGTAATTCCGCTTGTTGGTCTCGGGACTGGACAGGAAACAGTACTGGCTGTTGATACTTTTGTAGTAGTCCCTGGTAGGCTGCTTGAGAAGGATGGTTCCTCTGTTGAGGATAGCACCGTTGTCCCTCATTTTCAAATCGCTCACGGAGAATCCGGTTGGCAACTCCAAGTACAGTGCAAGTTCATTGCGTGTGTCATCGAACAAGGGAGAGCGCGACAGCCAGTTTGATGCAGCCTCGTATACTTGCTTGATAGTCGTGTGGCATCGCGAGTGTTCTTTCACGATCAATGGCCAGGACGCTATATCGTTGATCAAAGCGGAGCCGACATTGTGAAATATTTCGGTGTCGTCAGTAACTCCAGGTACCTGCATATGTTGAATCGATTGAGCGACACAAAAGAGAATGAAGTTGCAGGCAACCATAGTCTCGATTGGAACGATGACGAAGTCAATCATCTCTGGGGAAGTCGCATCCATGGTGGCGGATGAGGGCGAGATCAAAGTTGAAATCTATTATCGGAGGAAACGTGAACGTACAAAGCGCTGAGTTGAGGAATTTGTTTTGTTTTGTGCACTCAAACTAGTGCCCCACCAGAGCAAACAAATGACTGTCGCAACCCGCACGGTCTTAGGTAACTTTGCTTGGCAGTGAAGACTAATGAGGAAGGCAGCAGCCGAAAGAGATCACGCATAGGCTAATAATGTTGGGAAGCGTGCGCTCAGAATGTAGGTATCTTAGAATTGGCAGTGCCCTCCCATGATGTACCTAAGGTTCACTACAACTACCAGGTATGGATTGATCCATAACTACCTAACTTCTTGTCCCATCACTTGACTTATAGGCGCTCAGTGAGAGCTGGCGAAGCGGTGCGAGTGGTCGACGGAGTGAGCGTATCGACAACGGACTCGGTGTCTATTACGTTGTCAAACATGAGATTGAAGGACCGGAAGAACGTCTACTTACCGGTCAGACTGACGTGGTCGGAGGCTGTACCGTCCTGGACTTCTGGTACATGTTCCAGGTAAGCTCCCTTGAACTCCTCAGTGAACATACGCTTGAGAGGCTTCTCTCTAGCCCAGGCCAATGTCATCAGGAAGTCCTCGAAATCTTCCTGCTTGTGGTGATCTGGAAGCCAGAAGCACTCCGGTCGATTGGGGTCATTCTTGTAGGCGTCCATCACCCTGCGCTGCTCCAGAACGATGAGATCCCTTTTCAGAACGGTACCATCTCGATGTATGGCCAATCCGCTGGCGGAAAAACTTCGCTGAGGTTTCAGGTATATCTTGAGCCTCTCGTGTTCTTCCACGAACGATCCGAAGAAGGAGCCCACAAGGCACTCGATTGCAGTCTTTATAATCCCGATGATGTTGTTGTAAATCTGCGATTGCTCTTTGACAATGAGCGGCCAGACAGTGTCCTTGGAGTCCACTAGCTCTTTCGCTTTGATGTAATGCGCTAACATCTCGCTAACATCTGAGATCGAGGAAATGCCAATTGAAGATGTGCTGTTGGAGATGATGGTATAGACTTTAGCGAGGATGTAAATGCAGGCGGTAAGAGTCTCGATGGGGAAGAGGGCGAACTTCACCATCTTCTCTGCGGACGCGGCCGTGGCGGGGAGCGATGGTGTGTAGTTGAGCGAGGCCATTGTTGCACGAACGTGATGGGGTAGAACGAAAGTATCAGGATTCTGTAGTTTATATATGGAGACTGACTTACACGAGTGCCGCTAGAGCAAACGAACGTTAAACCCCGCACGGTTCTGAACTGATAGTCACCTGGGCAGTGAAGGCTAACGAGAAAATGAGCAGTCTCATTAGTCTACTGACAAGGCTGAAACTGTAAATAGCACACCGCTGGACAGTTTCCATGACACTCTTTCTCAATAGCGACAGAAAGAAATAGACGAATGTGATGACAGATAAATGGGCAAGAGTGTTGAGCGTCGTGACATTGACATTACCTAGGTACTCTCGACCGAGCTGAGATCTTGTGCGATCAGTTAAAGCCATTCTCTCTGAAATCCTTACCATCTACATCCCGGCGGGTTGTATTCGAAGGTCTTCGGGGGAGGATACTCTCGTGGAGGAGGATTCCCTACGAGCGCTTCCATTCTGAATATTCGGTCTTGGGGCGCCTTTTCAGTCCAAGACAGCGTAGTCAGATACTCACAATACGCTTTCTTGTGTTCCTCAGAACACAAAGCCTCAACCGAGATTGTGCTGTCCAAGTAGATCTGAGGCGGCTGCTGTCGAAGCCCAATCTTCTCGTCCCTCATTTGCACAAGACCACGATTATCTACCCCGTAGTATTTCGGCTTGAAGGTGACGGGGGCTGTTAGGTAATTCGCGAGGTCGCTGCGGTGGTGGGTGAAGAGTGGAGACCTGTTCAGCCATTTACGTGCCTCTGCTTCTATCTTGTGAATGTTCATGGCCAGAGGTGCATCTCGGTCAACGATCAGAGGCCAAACGTAGTCTTTGTCGAGGACCTGCTTAGTTACGGAGCAAGAATCATGAAGGTTACGGCCGCCTGGGTTTTCTTCGAAATGGTCTTTACTCGTGTTTTTCAGAATGGCTTCTCTTGCTGCTCTCAGGATGCAATCACAAGCCACCACGAACTGTATCGGAATGACAGCGAATACGACAGGATCTGGGTGTTTCGGTGGTTCGTAGGGTGGATTGTTTTTGAAACGAATTGCTGAGCTCATTGTCGTGTTGATGGATCTTTCGGTACAGAGATGAAAGGTCGGGATGTAGAAACAATTCTTATATACAGCTGCGCCCTCGAAAAATGACAAGCCGTTTGCGCTGGGAAACAATGTAAAGCTTTACAGGTTTGCGACAAGCAAATAGCAGGCATGACAAGGCACATTCTCACCGCCTCCCAAACCCCCTTACCTCCCCCCTCCCCATCCGTTCCATATCCTCCGTAATATCCCTAAGCGCCATCTGCCACGGCACCGCCCTAGGATCATCTCTAGGATACCTCCATATCATCTGCATAGCATACTTCGCCTCCTCAAACCGAGGGTGTTGTTGAGCGTATTCAGGAAGTTGGGCGAGCCTGTCCGCAACATTCCCACTGTGGCGAGAGCCCTCGAAAGGATTCACAGGTGCACTTCTGCTGCGGGAGTGGCCTGGGCCGTGTCGGCGGGTAAAGTGAGGAGGATGAGGTGGGTAGCTGGGGGGAGGGTCTCTTCGGGGGTCGGGAGCGAAGGTGATATGTCGCTGTGGTGGAGAGTGGACTTGTTGGGGGAACGGTGGGATGGTGTAATGGGGACCGTGTAGATTGGGTGGGTAGTACATTCTTCCTGGATGAGTCTCAATGGGTTCGTAGCGAGAGCCATCGATGGGTACCAAACCATCTGGCAGCATTGGTCGATTTGGGAATCGAAAGTCATCAGTATCGTGCCTTGAGTCGCTTCCGTAGCTTGTCTCTCGAGTCGTCCAGTGTTCAGCTTCATACGTCGACCGTACCGAGGCGGGGGAGGTGTCGGCAGGGACGGTGACTGTATAGCGTTCGCCGTTACTCCTATGACGAACGTGGTAATGTTTTCCCATTCTTCTTTGCTGTATGTTGTCAAGAGATTGGTTGGGTAGAGTTGAGGGTAGGAGTGGTTGACGTTGCGTGTCTAAATAGTGCTCAAGTTGAGGAAGGTCTCGGTTTAGTTCGAAGAGGCCTCGCTAGGAAGGATTAAATCGAGAGAGGGTGTGCCGATGGAATGTAAACTTCTACTCCCGAGGACTGAGGGGAGTGGCTGTTCGGCGATGGCGACTATGAGAACGGTGATGGCTAACTGCAGTGAATGAAGGAAGTGCTCGAAGAAGAGGAAGTGAACTAGAATGTGAAACGGAATGAAGAGATGATGTGAAAGCAAGAACAAGCGAGACGATATCGTGCATCTATGCTCCTCTCAGTGATAGTAATGATATGAAGATTGGACGTGTACGGAGGAACGCTCTTGCCACATGACCCTGTGACATATGCCAACAATGCTAGAACAACCCTGGATATCCAAGCACCCGAAAACGCCATTTGAAATGCAAGGAACACCAGTTATACAATCATCTAAACAACGATACATCATCTACGCAACATATAACTCAAGTCTGGTAGCCCAGCCAGAATACTCTTGATAACCTGTTCTTCATCGTTTTTCCGTCGTTGCGCAGAGTTCGTAGCCCCAGTAAGTGGCTGAATGGGCGGAGGAGTTACATTCCGCGGAGGAGTTACATTCCGCGGAGGAGACCGTGTAAACGTCTTCGCGGAAGATGCAGCACTGGTCGGTCTCGGAGGAGTTTCGAAGACGGAAAAGGGATCTGAGGGATCGCGCGTGGCTGGCGCAGACGCTTTCGTGGCAGGAGCGGATTCGAAGAAGGAGAAATCGGCGTCGGCCCAGGCATCAATAGAATGTTCATCTCGTACTATGGAAGCCGAAGGCGGAGTGCTAGGCCTGGCAGGTTCCGCCTCATGTGTATTGGACGTAAACGCAGAAAAGTCGTCTTCTTCCGTGCCGTTCGTACCAGTCTCTTCGACCTTCACCTCGTTGATAGCAATTTCGTTGGTATCATGCGCGTCGCGCGCCGGCAATACATCAGCTTTCACTTCCTCTTGTGGAATGACTTCTGATATCGGTTTTGGTGGAACTTCGACTTTGCTCTTCTCCGATGTGGCAGAAACAGAGCGCTTGGCGGGTTTCAAGAGTCCAGGCCCAATAGGTCCTTGTTCAGCGTGGAACGGAACAAAACTCTTCGGTCCAAAGATCGCTGAGGTGGGCGATATGGTACTTCGCAGGCGCACGATGTGCATCGCTTCGGCTGAACGATCCTGGATCGGCGGAGTCTTTGGTGGTGATGCTGAGTTTGACACAGTGCTGTCGAGCGTCGCGGGTATGGAGCTTGAGAAGGCTGAGGGGAAAGTGGATACTGTAGGGCTTGATATCATCTCACCCCAATCATCGTCATCTTCTGCAGGCACATTCGTACGTTGTTCCTGATTGGAAGTGTTGGTGTCGAGAGCAGCAATGTCTCCCCAAGGACTTGAAGAGGTTGTGGTTGGCTCAGGAGGTGGGATTGCTTTCGTTGCGACAACCGGCGTTTCACTCGGCGTTTGCCCTTGTGTTTCCCCAACATCGCGTGCAAGGTCAATTGAAACTGCACGAAGCTCATTCGCCTGTGTAAATTCGACAGTATTATGCTTAGGCGCGACAGGTGGGATTATGGGCGGTAAACCGGGACTGTCCTGCTTCCAAGGGTCCACTGTAGTAGTGGGAGAACTCCAGTTGAACGCAGCCGGGGTATCGGAGGACACAGGAGGCATGCTTTGTCGAGCTGGTGCAACTTCAACTGCTCGTGGCGTAGGAATGGTAGTCTTCGTGCGCATATGCCCTCTTGTTATCTTGGGCTCCAGAGGCGCAGGAGTGTCCCAGTAGAACGATGCCCTGGCTCCAGGACCTGTGCCAGAGAGACGGTCTTCGCGTGCCCATCTTGCTACAGTCTTGTTCACTTCCTCTCTGACCTTAGAGCCTGCCCATGTGACCCGAATATAGTTGTCGTCTGCATTCCCGCTGTTGAACTCCCTCATGGTCTGCTTGCGCGTGAGCCTATACCAAGCTTTGCGCCCAGATGTTGAGTATATAGGATCATCTGGTCCCTCCTCTAGTTCCCTTGTATTGCCGCTGGAAGAAAAAAGCTCGTTGAAGAGGCCTGTATCGAGTTGGTAGGTATCGGCATCGTATGAGGCAGCAGCGGCACTCGAAGAGGCTACAGGCGATCCAGAGCGGGAAGCGACTGATTCTTCAGGCGTCTCCTTCGAGTCTCCTTCAAAACTCTGTGTGGTTTCTGGTGGACCGGAAGGAGCTTCCGTCAACAGAGTATCTTGCGTGAAAGTCCCAAATTCACCGTCTATGCTGTCGCTGCTGGAACTTGAGGCATCCACTTCACTATCCTCATGACTTGCTGCCGCGTATACTTCCTCGGGCTTTGGCTCCTCCGCTGCAGTCTGCTGCCTGCCAGCCTCTTCTTCTAATGATGTTCTTGGCGATTCGACCGGCGCCTCGGTACGGCTCGTTTCGGACGGGGACGTAGAGGGTCGTGCAGAAGACTCATCGTCGGGCTGTAATCGGTTCGAGTGGGCGGTCTCGTCTTGGGTGGGAGTCTTTTCCGGCTGTATCGTAGTCGACGTGTCGGATGTGTCCGAGGTTACATTGTCCACATCGGAAGTATCTTCTTGACCAGCCCATGCGTCTTCTCGCGTCGGAAATTCAGGCTCGCTTTCTTCTTTCAAATCCCAACGCGGCCCATCGTCAACTGCCCTCTCATTCTTCAGTGGACTGGGTTCAGCTATGCGCGTCTCCGTGAGTGCAGTCACGGCGGCATCATGTCCAGATGACGTAGTCCAGTCACCAAAGCTCTCATCTTCATTGCCCCATCCGGCGTCGTCGAGAAAGCCATTCAAGAGTACCGGTGCAGACGCAAGGGTAGGCGGCGGTGGTGAGGTCACCTCGTGCTTCGTCGGCGACTTTTGTTCGTCGGCATTGTTGTCTGCCCACGGGTCGCCCCAATGATCCATGGTCGGGCTGCCGCGTCAAGCGTCATAGTGAGTCGCTTCTGCTAGAGAAGCATCACCAAAAGTGCAAGCAATGGAGAA